TCTGTCTGTCACTTTACTCTGCTGTTCACTGTTAATCACACTATTTTTAATTATGTTCCTCTGACATCCATTACAGGGTCATATGTCATCTCCTAACCACCATCATCTGTCTGCTGTTATTCCACTGACTTTATGCTGCTGAATTTACATTTGCACTGTAGCAGCACTCACCGAGGTTTTCTCCTCCCCATACATCCATCATCATGTCATACTTTCCCAGCAGCTCAAAGTATTCCTTATCCATGACAAATAGACCTCCTGCTATCATTGGAGTCCTGCAGGGGCAGAGAGAGAAAGAGGGCAGGAGGACGGAGGGAGGAAAAGAGTGAGATTAGTAGTCGGTATAATCTGGCATATAATCAGTCGTGTATGAGCCCTTGAGTGGTTGTGTGAGAGTGGTTTTGTCTGAAAGTGTGTCCATCTTACTTTATGGGGGCGATGGGGTTGCCTTGTCTGGCTCGTCTCTGATCCAAAGTCATGTAGTCCCATTTAAACACCAAATTCCAGTCAAAACCTACAGACATAAAACCACAGAGGATAAAAGAACAAACACCATACTGGCCATTAGCTGGGATTAAAAAGCAGTCTGTATGTGTTCAAGTATCAGCAGAAAGTACAACAATTTTACCCTATATGCTAATACTAGAAAGCCTAGGATGAGATAGTATTGGAAACCCAACTCAGAGGAGGAATAGTCAATATATATATGTAGCAAATAAATATACTTTACAGTTTTGTACAAATAGGAAACGATACAAGACGTGTAAACGGATGTCAGTCAAACCAAATTTTAAACAATACATTTCCACCAAATTCTTATAATATCTATCTCTTTAGCGGATAGTTTCTAACTGTGTCTGTGCTGAGCAGGTAGAGTACAGTGGGTATTTAGAGCCTTTCCACACAATGCAGTGACGGGTGATAATTCATCTGATTCATTGTGATATAAACATATTGATTATCAGTTCAGGGATTGTAGAAAATGTACTACCATGTATTATACATTAATGTGTACATAATGTAGTCACTTTATCAGTATGAATGCAGCAGTGCAGTGCGGAAGACGTTGTTTAGGACCAGTAAGCCAAAAGACTAAACATGCTAGGTATATACTTGGCAGAAGTGCTGTTCTTGTGTGTGAAAAATAGCAACAGCGGCCTGTAAACAGTTTATGGAGTAGGGCGCTGGAGGCCAAACAAATTGGTATTAATGCTGCTAGGGACAACGCCATTGTGGTTAAAACTGTAAAGAAAACATCAAATCTCTAAAAAATGTAACTAACACAGAGTCTTGTTGTCGAGCTCTACTCACTGACTCACACAGGACATCAAACATGCGTGCATGTACCTCTCTACTTGTGTACTGTACCTCCTTTCAGATCGGCCGAGGCTCCTACATACTGGAAGTTGTCCATGTTGATGACATCGATGATAGGAGAAACTACTCTGGTCTTGTCCTGAGAGGGAAGGACAGAGACAAAATAATTCATTAGGACTTTTTCAGTTCCATATAAAGCTCAGAAAGGGAATAACAGGAAATCTGTCTCATTAGTCAGTATGTACTACAAGTCCTGTCAAATAAAAAAACCAAAATAAGCAAAGCTGCAGACATAGAAGTAAATATTCCCCTCAACACAAGTGATTCATATGTTTAGTTTATCTTCTATATTTAGTTTATCACTGTGTTTATGAAGCTGTCTCCTCCACACCGAATCAAACCCTGAGCTGAAAACACACAGAGCCACATCATACAGTAGTTTGAAGAGAGCATTGCTGAAGTGGCCTGAATGACAGTAACAGAAACAAGCTTCCAGGTACTGAGTGAGTTTGTTTATTTTGAGCTGAGACATTTTGGTATGACACAAAGTTTTCACCCACACAGATTGCATTTTTTTTTTTCCTTCTTTCTTTCTTGCATTGAGTGATTTATTATTCATAAGTGCAACAACAGTGAAGAAAAGCAAAGTCAATTTTTTGACAGCAAAACGTTTTAGATTTGGCTCCAGGCATTTATGAACTTGGGAGGATCAAATGAAGAATCAGACCATTTTCAGTCGCATTAGATACATTTGAAGAATGACATCCATTTTACACACACTTGTCCCACTTCATTGGTTTACATTTCTTACAGTTCTCAAGCGATTTCTAAAAGACTTCACTTTAAATATCACCACACTGTTAAATCTATGATGGGGTTCAGCTTATGTTTATTCTGTTTCCTTACAAAAGAAGGAAACATGAAAAGATGTCAGTCTTTTCAAATTAAATAAACTGTAAGAACTGTTCTGACAGTGGGAATAAAAGTTCTGATCTACTGAATTACTGGTTTACATATTTACTGACGTTAACATTACATTTTAATTCTAACAAATAACTTTTTTTAACCATGTCATATCAGAAAAAAGAAATGTGCTTTTCCGCAGCTGTGAAAATCTGCTTTTATACTGAAAGAGTCCAAACATTCCTGTGATATTGAAGCCATGTTATGCACATGTTTTTCACATTCATTCTGTGAATTAAGGGTTTATTTGAACCAAACCAGCATAGGTGATTGTTGGTAACACTGTGGAAAGACTAAATGGGATGGTTTTGGTGAGTTTTATTTGGTTTCTGTTCCATTGTTTTGGTCTGAGATTGAGAGAAGTGTCTCACTTAACATTACAAAAAATGTTATTCTTTCATTCGTTTTCTGGTTGGACTTTACTTGTGTTGTGTCTTTATGTTCATTAGGATGTGTGCATAAGTAAAATAATATAATGTATAAAGGTGTGTCTGTATGTATGTATGCATGGGTGCATGTGTACCTCAGCCACTCTCTCCAGCAGCGGCTCTAGCCAGTGGTCATTACATTCACAGTGAGAGTCCAAGAATGTGAGGACTGGTGCTGTCGCGGCATCTGCACCACGAACCCTTGAACGCATCAGTCCTGAGGGGAACATCAGTAACAAAAGAACAAGAAATCAAAACACGTATTTTTGCTACCAAACACAATGATTTCACCCCGAGCTACACACATAACTGCACTGGGAATAAAAATGCAATAAAACATTCTTCTCCTCTTCTTTTAATTACCTTCTCTGCGGTCATTTCTCAACACACGCACTTTTTCAATCTTCCCCAGCAGCGCTCCGTCCTCCGCTGAAACACACACAAAGCAGGTGCCACACAGATGATACACACATCACATTTACACACGGATCTTTTTATGTTTGTTTGCGTGCATTACTCACGGTTATCACTGTAGTCGTCCACCAGAATGATCTCTTTGACCAAGTAAGGAGGACTTTTCTTCAGGACACTAAACAGAGAGTGAGAGAGATGGGGGTGGGGGGATTTATAGGAAGATAAAAGGTATTTAAATATAAGAAAATTTCTGCCTACAAATCAAAATAGAGAAGTGCTTGAAGTGGACAGCACACACACCATTAACCTACCTGACCACAGTCCTCAGCAGAGCGGAGCGAGCTTCATTGTGGAATGTGATGACGACACTAGAGGCCGGCAGGTCTGACTTCCATTGTTTATGTCTGCAGCTACAAACACAAAGAAACCACACAAATTAGGAATAAAAAAAATACAAAACATAAATGCCTACATGTGCACAAATGCACACAAGCACACTCCTACTCCTACGCACATGAGCACACAGTTGAATGTGTGAGCAAAGCTGCGAGCTGGAACCGCTCCCTGAACAGATTCAGAACACATGAACACAATAAATAGGATTCAGTGTGCACACACACGCACGCGCACGCACACGCACGCACGCACATACACACACACAGAGAGTAATGCTCTGCTGAAGCTGGGATTGACAGTGGGCTTTGCAGACAGCAGGGCAAAAATCCCCTGAGATCGTGTATATGTGTATATGTGTGTGTGTCCAACAGAGACAAATCCTCACCCTGACTTAAAAGTGAGGAACGTTGGTGATAGGACCCTACATGAGACAAGGAGCCAAGGAGAGGATGAAGAGGAGAAAATGGGCCATTCATCACTGTGGGAAAACCTCTTTTCCTACCACAACCAATCTGTTAAATGCTTGTGTAACGCCCTGTACACACTCATATATAGGATCATGAAGTCAGTGGACACCTGACCATCACACCTATATGAGCTTTTTCCCTTCGTGGTGGCTACAACAGCCAACACTCTTCTGGTAAGGCTTTTCACAAGATTTTGTATGAGAAAAGCCTGGCTCACAATTGGTGTTCTAATTCCTCCCAAAGGTGTTCAGTTGGGTTGAGGTCAGGTCTCTGTGAGCCTTATCGAGACAGACCCTTTGCACACTCAGCACAGTCATGCTGGAACAGCAAAGGGACTTTCCCAAACTGTTACCACAAAGTTGGGTTGTTCGGCTGGTGTTGCATCCAGATTCACTGAGCCCTTTATGACCCATTCTAACTTCTACATGTTTGTCTGTGGAGATTTTATGCACCTTCGCAATGTAATGTGTGTGACTTAAAAAACCTGAACTCAGTCTTTTGGCTATATACATATGTGTGGAGGTTAAAATAAAATAATTCAAAATCCTGTTTCAAGAAATTAACTTCCACCTATAATTTGAACTCTTATAACAGAGAGGTTTTCTTGAGTTGGTCTAAGAAGCTACGACACACACCAGATGTAAAGTGTGTACTGTTTAAAAAGTACATTACATACTGAGTACATAGTACGCACTGTCCTTGAACGGTCTGTGGGCATGATGTGTGCAGTCCTTTTGTCCCTGTACCTCGTCTGTCAGAGCAGCATTGGCTTTAAAAGGCGAGTCAATATGCAGCTGCATCAATCTTGAATTGAGTTATTCCTGTACATTTCTTGGACTGGCAAAAGGCCCAATTAGTGGGGGTTTGTGTGTGTTTTAAAGCTGTAGAATAAATATACAAGTTCTTTTGATCTTGTGTTGAAAGCAATGATGAAGAGGCCCTGGCCTTAAACAATCCCAACTAGGCTCTTTTTTTCTGGACAACCTTCACAATCAGTGCTGCTGCACGCTGTGCAAATGACACATCACAACCAGATCAATAGAGAGACACATCCCTGCTCTGTTAGTGGGCTAATGGCTCTAGCTGTCTAAGTTATGTCAATATATCAGTGAGGCCAGACCACTGCCTTTATAAAAATCTTTGAATCACACTGCATTTTTACAGATGCTGCAGGAACAAAATCACTGAGCGAAGACGATGACATACTGTTGTACTTTTAAGACTTTAATTCTGTATCTCAAGTTGAATCTTAAATCCAAATTAATTTTGATGAAGGCAATAAGATTTTAGGTCAAATGTGTTTTTTCTGCTGTGAAGAAAGGCAGACTGTCTATTCAAGACTTATACGACAGGTTTGGACCACTTGTGAATTTAATTTGAGTACCGGAAGATTGTTGAAATCTCTGATACAAATCTGTTTGGATGAGTGGTTCTTGCACGAGGCCCATTGTGTTTGTTAAATGGACAATAAAAGCATGTTCAGCATCCAATCAAAAATGTTAACAAAAGTATTACAATATACTAGAAACTCTGAGCAGAAATTAAACTGCTACTAATCTTCCTGTGTTTATTTGCCAAAAAGACTAATAAAAAACTAATTAAAGTAATTTATTAAAAAATATCCCTGAGATAAAACACTCAAACTGAGGCACAGCCAAAAAACAACAGCAAATTACTGTGACAACGTGTTCCTCTTACTCTGGGTAGGAAAATAAATCTCTGTTCTCTGAGAACAGGTTCAGGGTGTTTTGTAGGTTTGCTCAACAGGTGGGTCCACAATCTCTCACTTGAAATCAGTCAGTAGTGAAACAGTACCACAGGAGTCAAACACACACAAACACTGACTCACAAATTCAGTCACTTTCCACAACTTTGAAACTTGTATGTGTTAAAATATGCATTTTATGGGGATCAAATTTACACAATACATTTATACTCATATACTCATGATCTGGTCACATGTATAACCAATATCATCCATAATAATTAGCATATAGTATAATCAAGATTACTAAAATATAATAATATTCTGATAAAAATGGATCCAACAGATATTGTTCCAAGATTTATTTTTGTCTCGTCGCTCATTTAACAAGCAGAACAATCGACAATGTCATTAGCAGAGGTTTGTGTTATAAATGGGGCAGACAGTGAACAGTGCGTGTCTGCTCTGCTGCGACTTCCTGGTTTCATCTGATAGACCACAATAGAGGGAGTTTCCAAGAGATCTTATCCAGTCTAGTACTAATTAGTCAAATAGACAGACAGCAAAGGACAGTATGTACTCGTACAATGCCTACAATTACACATGCAACCCTAAAGGGTAGGAGGGATATATGTTATGGTGTGTGTGTGTGTGTTAGTATACATACTGGTCATGTCTTGTATCGGGCACGGCTCTGTCCATACGGAGTTTGTCGCTCTCCACCTGGTTGAACTTGTTCCTGGCGTACGGATCCTGACCCGGTCGGACTACCGTGGCTCCGACGTACAGATCCTGGTCAAAATCCTGCCAGCGCACCTTACCTGGACACACACACACACACACACACACACATATTAAAGCACACAGTCGAGGCCAATAGAAGTTGAGTCAGTGTCTTGTGTTTGTTTTTCAGGCTGAGGTTATTAGGCACGAAAACTTTCAGAAATTAAATATTTTCTGAACTTACAATAGGTTCTGTGAGAACTACATGGTGTTTTGAGACACACTTCTGTACCATGTTAAAAGGAGTAATCTATACATTTTATAAAACATAATGATTTCATTTAAGCCTCTATCTATTATATTATGATGTGGATAACGAGTAAACATGGTGGGAAAAAATAAATTCCAATTTCTTTTTTAGTTTCAGCTTTAATATAAACACCGACGAACCAGAGTACAAATTGTTTGTGTGTTTAATGAGAAACATATTCTCAATTCGACTCTCTGAGAAATAAGTGTTAAATAAACACAACATATCCAAAAATAAAAGCTGCCACCAAAGATGAAGTTTAAACCTTCACAAAGACTGGGAATGTGTCTCAGGAATGAATGGGATTATACATCAGTGGGAATACGAAATGTAGGCAGCAGGCTGGCTGATGCAAGAATCCTTCACGACTGACAGGAAGGAAACCTCGCTGCTTCAAGCTGCTGCTTGACAAGGCGGCAACATGGCACCGAGGAAAGCTGACAAGAGATTTATGCTGCTTATATGCGAAACTATGCAGAACAGAATTCAAAACAAACTAAGACAAGGCGAGACTAGTTTAGAGAAGCTAAAAAAGACAAAAGATCATTTATTATGCACTGCACAGAGGAAGGAAAAACAATCCTGCTGAATTTAGTAATTCACTGCAGCCTAAAATCTAAAAGAAACTACAAAATATTAAACATTATCAAACCAACACACACTCAGAGCACGTTGTGTCTGTCTGTTTGACCAGATTACCGAGATCATTGCGCGCTAAAGAGAGAAAGTTGTCATGTTTAATTTTACAGTTTATCACTGACTACTGACACGCAGACACACACGAATAATAATGCAACTAATTAGCCGGGTGCAGCTGCTATGCTAATGACTTGTGTTAAGCATATGGCAGCGTGAGATTACACTATCGCTCAGTATGGATGAGTGTGTGCATGACAGACAGACAGAGAGACAGAGAGAAACTGAGCCTGACGTGTGTGTGTGCATGTGTCTACCCTGACAGTATGTGAAAGTGTCTGGCATGCTAATTAGCTAAAGCTCGCAATGATCTGCCTGTGACTGTATAACGGTGCCTCCGAGACTCTGCTGCATGTGTCAGTGTGTGATGTCCTTGCTGATATCTCTGTTTAGTGGCAGCAAGTAATTAATGTAGTGAAATTAATGTTTCAACTTCTCACTTTGCGAGTCTTTAGCTCAGAAAATCTTCTATGTTACAGTCTCTCTCCGGTTTTCTTGGCACGCCGCACTCGCTTGAAGCAGATATAACTGTCCACTTTCTCACTGGGATTATTTATTCAGTTGACGTTTTTCCAATACTCTCTAGCAGGTACATCTATCGTGACTGAGCTGGTGGTTTGTTGCTTCAGACCCTGAGGGCCAATGGTGTGGTCTGTTGGTTTGAACAGTTTTCACTCTCCCGCGACCTCTCGTCGCTGAGCTGTCTCCACCCACAGCTGCTGACTGGTTGTTTTTGTTTGTTGCAACATTTTATGGAAATCCCTTGACGCTGTCGTGTTTCAACTGATGGTAACTGGCAGGCAGGACTCGCACTCGGAACCGTTCCCTCGATCTGTACTGAACCGTGAACTCTCCGCCTACCAGCTCAGAGAACGCCAACGCTCAATGTGCACACACAGTCTTATTTGATTCACTGCCTGAAAATGATCCAAATAAAACCTTAAAGAGGAACACCAGTATGTTTCACACCCAGCATCACTAATGGATGTGTTAAAATGTGGAGTGCTTTGTTGCAACCTGCAACCACACCCAGCAGTGATGTCACAGATGCCTGGAGTACATTTCTACATCACTGCAGGAAAAGTAAAGAATCCGAAGTTGTGCAAGTTACTCTTTAAAGTGGCTGCATTTCAACTTAACTGCAATACAGAAAATGAAAAGAAGAACTCAGGTGATTAATAATCAGTCAGTCAACTGACAGGAAATTACTCAGCAAGTATTCTGATAGTTGATTAATCTTCCATATTCTTCCATTATCCTCTTCCTGTTTCTCAAACGTGAGAATTTACTGCCTTTTTATTTTTTGCATCATTGTAAACTAAATATCTTTGAGTTACGGACTGAGCTTAAAAGGGCCGGTATACTCCATCAGAAGTGCTTGTCAGATATAGCTTTGTGTCCTTCAGTCACTAACAGGTGGTGGTGTATGGGGGTAGAAGAACATCCTCATGATTGCAAACTTCATTTGCTGATGTTGACTGTGAGATAAGGCTGAAAAAGGTGGTAGGTGTGTGTGAGTTTAATATACAGAGTAAAGGGTGTTCTGTCAACATGCCCTGAATAAAAATTACATTTTTAAGAGAGCCTCAAAGAGGAGAGCACAAAAACAAGTTCCTCAAATATTCATTGTAATGTTTTTGTGCTGCATGAGAATGTTTCAAATGCACACAGTACCACAAACTCACAGTTGTGAGTTATTTCAATTAGAAAGAGTATTCATACTGCTCCGTACAAGCTGAGCTCTTACTCCTTCACTCTCCTTCCTATTCTTTCATTACTTTATCCTCCATCTTTTATTATCCTTTACTCGCCCAGTCTCCTCCTGCTCTCAGAATCAGAATGAGTGTCGGTTTTCACATACAAAGAAGTTGCCTTGGCACATTGGTGCATAGTAATTAAACATAAAACTGAAAGAAAAAAAACGAGGACTGCAAATTAAGAAGCAGAAATAAAATATATAAAAAAATCAACATTAATGTATGAAAAAATATTATTATTAGACAGTTATAGACAATATGTACAATTACAATATCACTCTTATTTTAAATAGAAGCTGTCTGTGCAGAAATATGCAGAATATTGTCCAGGGAATTAAAAAAATATTGCAGTATTAAGTATAAGAATATCTATAAAGTTATATTTATATTACATAATATTTATATATATATCTATATAACTTCAGTCTGTAACGTTAATGTAACATGTAGAGGGTGGGTGGTGGGTATAAGAATCAGTGTCAGTGGGGGTCCCAGGTTTTGTTGATGAGGCCAGCTGCAGATGAGAAAAAGCTTTCCTCTTTCCTCCTTTGTGTGTGTGTGTGTGTGTGTGTGTGTGTGTGTGTGTTTACTTCTCTGGGACGGAGACATCTACCTACGCTACATTCTTAATTTTTAATATTGATAGCTGATTATTCATCTCATCCTATAACTTTTTTAATGTTTTGTTAGGTTCTGTTTTCTTCCCACAGTACTTCATAAAATGAAATTGCGTAGTTAAGGACAGAGAAGCATTTCAACATCTCTGATTTGCAGGTTAAATCCTCCTGTCTCTTAGAGGCGTAATCATGAAGATATTACACCGTATCAATACCGATGTAAATCTGCAGAGCTGCTAATGCTCTTAATCCTATAAATCACTCCGAGTCATCTCACACAGGGCTGATGGGCCCTGAAAGGGAGGTATTTGGCGGTCTGATGGTTACAGGAATTGACGGACAGTCTCCAGGGATGGTCGAGGCACAGTTCAGGTTTCGGGGCGGTCATGCACATAAATTCGCCATTAATAAATGTCACTTCTCCTGCTGCTAAAAAAGAAGGGCAAGAGGAGGGAGGAGAGAGTGTGCAGGGAGGGGAGATGAGGCGAGAAGACATTCGTGTAGGAGAGACAGAAGGTGAGAGACACACAGAGCAGATGACACGGTGCACTTTTGGGAGGGCCTCCCGGAGACCGTGTGCCTGGCTTGGGACTTTTGATGTGCTGCTGCGACAGATGTTAAGGTTTCACCCTCAATGCAGAGTATTTGCTCATTGAGCCACATGTGTGACTGGCAAGGATATGCTCCCCAACCCCTAATACAACTTGCATCAGCTCTCTGACTTATACGTGCGTAACTCACACATTCAGTCACACAAAGATACACACATTGAAAACCGCATGCACAGTTGCACATTCACAGTTGTACGCATACACACATACACAAGCTTATTCGGCTCATGACAGATGAGTGTGACAACTGTTCGGTTGTTTGGAGAAATTCCCAGGAAAATCTGTCATCTCATAGGCATAATTCAAAGAGGGTTTGGGGGGCTGGTGCACCTGTGGGTGCCATGATCTCTCTATGTGATTAGAAGCGTTGTGGGAGAGGAGGCCTTTGGAGCCTGTGATGTGTGATTTGCATGAACTGTCAATCATCTCTGTCTTCATGCTGACAACAAGAGTAGAGCGAAGAGCTTCCATGGCAACATTGGTCTAAAATCTAGCTTTTTGCAGTTTTGCCTCTAAAACCATTTGTGTTATTTCTCACCCAAAACAAACACTGTATCACCTAACTATGGATGTATGTAGGCTTCCCCACTCACGTACTAATGCCCAGTATTATCTTTGCTAACAGGATCATGCTTACTGTCTCAGATGAAGGGTGGTATGAGCAACACACAGCTACAGAGACAGATTATCTTCTACCATTCCCGGCAACAAAGCCCTGCTTCCTCAAATCTCTTCACAGAGTAAGTCCCCCCATCTTATTTCATGCTCTCCGCTGTGCACTTGGGCTAAAAGGTCTAACCATTTGTCAAGAAACGAGATAACTGGGTCCATTCTATAGGATATTATACATACTTTTTACCCAAGCAGCCATCCAATTAAACTGCCGGAATGGGACTTTCTAGTACAAGAAAGGAAATATGAGAAAGATATGAGAAAAGGATAGAAAAGCATCTCATTCTCCATTTGGGGAAAATCTTATTTAAAACCAGTTGAAACCTCCATAGCATATATATATATATATATAATTATAGTACTAATAAAGCTATCAGTATATTA